ACCTCCGTTTACGGTACCCAACACAGCAGCAGTAAGGGACTTTTCGCGCTGCCGACGGATCGCGCAAGACCCCCTGTAGGGCCTCGTCAAACCCGAAAAAGCCCAGGGGGGGCCGGGGGTCTATTTTGCCTCTGCCGGCGCTCCGCGAGTCCCCCTTACTGCTGCTCACTTTTCACCTGTGGGGTATCGGGTTAGATTTCTTGACTCGGCGTCTCTTGTGGATGGAGATTCTTCTTTACCTGGCTTATCTCCCTCCGAAAACATTAACAAGATAAATTTCAAATTTGAGTTAGCCGCGCTCTGATTTTGTTCAACACAGATTTGTTTCAGAGTTTGATATATTTGTTAAGCGTGCCTTACCCTGGCTTAGATCAGCCCCCGAATCAGCCCAGAGGCTACTTCAGGGTTAGGTTGAAAAAACGTTTTCAAAATGCAATCCATCCCAAAAATTACAAGTACATTTTCTGTGTTAGGTTCAACGATATATCGTTATGGGGATGATGTCAGGGACAAAATGGTTCCAAACACACGGGATTTCTCCACACAATGTTTCCGCATTGATATTCCTGATGATGGGATGCAGTTTTATAACAAAAGGCATCATATGGTCCACGTGAGTAATGATTATGATAATCCTTTTTGGTATATAATGTCAGTCTTGAATACGTGAATGGGGCGCGCCTCGCCGGAACCTCGAGTCTGTTTTCCCGCCCCTCATCACGCTTGTTTGCTTTTGTATTTCTTCTTTGGTGTTGTTCTCCTTTGTTAGTGAAGCGTGATAAAAGGCTCTAAATGAAAAAATAAGGTGGATTAATTCGATGATACGGCGGCCGCCTTGCCAGGGGACAAAACAAAACAAAAATGACGGAAAATATGTAGAGTTTGATGTGTTTTTTTTTTCTGGGTAAAGGTAAAAATCCTATGTTGTATTCTCTCCATCCATGCCATGATTTACTCAAATCTTTCACACTACAGTCATAAAGTTTTTTTGTTTGTTGAGCCGAGGGTATTTCCGCTTACAGATTTGTCGCAACGGTGCTTTGTTGTTCGAGACGCCGCAACTCGTCCGCTGGTCACACAGATTTAGTGAACGTGATTGGGCGTACAATAAAACAGCCATCATTGCACCTTACTGGGCTCTTACTGATGTAGAAGATCCGTTTGTAATCCACAACATCTCTAAAGTGTTCTACCAAGCTTACGACAACAGTAATGATGAGAGATCCAAGGCAATACTGCAGCAAGCCACGTATGATGTGAAGACCTTTCACATGGATGTACAAGGACTTTACGAGAACAATGAAAATCATCAAAAGCCAAATGAAGACTTTGATGCAAAATGGGTTTTGGTCGTGACGTGGGTTAACCTTCGACCACCTAATGCTCACCATTTGCCTTCCGACCTGGTAATGCTTGAACACAGCAGTGTAAATACACCTCTTTATCTTTGGCATAATGTTTTCCCATTTCAGACTACATCTCATTCTCTTGAGAATAAGATTCTTTGTTTGCGTTGCATCCATATTCATGTGTCTTCTCGTGCTCATCCTTTAAACAAACAAAAAAATGATACTCTCGGGAATGACGCCTGGTCTGAAATGTGACAACATTTTGCTCCAGTTATAGAGGTCTACTAAGTTTTTTTCGTGCTATAAATCATCGCTGATATAAACTAGAATAGTTTTAAACATACGAAACTGGGTCGTTTGCCAAGCGTAGTACAATAAACCAGACACAGCAAGTGAGGTCACTGCTCATCAGCTCGCAATGTTTGGACACGGCACGGTCACCGCACTTCCTCTCCATTAGACTTCACAGCTATACGAAATTTGCTCAAAAAGTGACCACGAATTTTTCTCCTAGAACAACACATTTCAAGTCGTGCTCATAACGGACGGAGTGTGCTCTTTCGTAATGTATAACTACCCTTCTAATGGAATACAGTGGTCCGCACCAACACTGGAGTAAGTATTCATGACATATAAGTGAAATATATCCAGTGCCCTATCATCAATGCTGTGTTCTGATTGGATGAGCTATACTACTAGGCTTTAAGTTATAGCCTATTAGTAGCGAAAAGTGCTGGCTTTGAAAACCAAAACAATAAATTTAACTATAATTTGAAAACTTGTTTGAATCTATATATTTGAACGACTAGAGTGGTTTTCATTAACCCGTGAAACAAAATTTACTTATTAGATGGTAATAGCCAGATTTAAACAATAGAAAACAAAGGAGTTAGAGCGAAATAGTACAAAATACGTTAAAATGTATTTCACAGGTGTATAAAAATCACTCTAGTTGGATTTGAATAAAACAATTCATTCGGGCTGGAGAACTAATTGCTAATTAGTTAAAGGGTGCCTTGTATTATAGCAAACATCAATTCTAGTTATGCTCACTAGTCCAATATACTGCTTTCCATTTTTGCCTTACTAAACCAAGCATAATGGACGTTGATAACACGGAGCCATGTTTATTTACATGACAGTAAAAACCTTTGTTTAAACCCGAGTAAGATCGTCCTGAAACGCTTGCTTGAATGTGAACCCGTGAGGTTTCGTGGGGGAAAATGTTTTGCTCCAGTCAACATGGCTGCCTCGTGAGAAAGGTCCATACCTGTGGTTCTTTGATTAATTTCTCTTTCAGGAAGTATTACGAACATTTCACCTATTATCGTGGGCTTCCTGTGGTCGGTTTAAATGGTGGCGAGAAGAAACATGAATACTATCATGTCTTGGGGTAAGCAAAAATACTTAATCCATCCTTCTCTCCCTCTTCCCCTGCCATCCTTTCATTCGCTCACCCACTCTCTTTTTCTCTTCTTCTTCTCATCCTCCCTTCCTATTTCCCTCCCATCCTTTCATTCATCTATTCATCCTCCCTTCCTCCTCTTCTTCTTCCCTTCCTCCCTCCCTTTCCTCTCCCATCTTTTTATTCATCCATCTATCCTCCCTTTCTCGTTTTCTTCCCTTCCTTTCTTCCTTACTTCATTTCATTTTTCTTTCATTTTTTCCAGATCCGGAGAAACGGGAATAGTTAAAGTTAATTCAATACCTGGTAAAACAGTCAGGATAACTGACAATATTAAAAAATATTATGAAGAGGACTTGCAGCCTGGAAAATGGTTTTTCCGAGTAGAAACAGCGCTTCCGCGCAATAAAGAAAAGAAAGACAAGTGCAAGGAATGGTTGAAATCCGCACCTGATCATAGACGGTACACTGAACACCTCGAACCCTGTCCATGTACATACAGACAAGCTTCATGGGACGAACGATTTAGAATGGAACCATATGGATGGCCCTTTATTTGTGCAAACTCTATCTTCCCTTCCAATGGGGGATGGGAACAGAAGTGCTGTTACTTTGAAGGAGCATTGGTCAAAGGGTATCCTGGAGGAGGATATCCGATTTTTCCTAAAACTGACACGTCTGCTATTAGACTATGCTGTACATTTTCAAGTCAGTGCAAGTTATTTTACAAGAAAAGACCATCTGATGACTGTAAGAAATACCAGGAAACCGAGTGGAGTAAGTTGATGACTTATTTAAATGGCGTAGTCAGAGCATGCGACTAATAAACTAAAGGCTAACTAGAAATACTTTCTTTTGATCAAAGGTTGGTTGTGGGGCGATCCTCATTTCGTAACGTTAGATGGCCTGAACTATACCTTCAATGGTCTTGGCGAATACATCATGGCAGACATAAGAAACGGGTTGTTCCAGCTTCAAGCTCGAACCAAGCTGGTCGAGGGTGGAGGGAAAGCTACTGTGTTTGTTTCAGCCGTTGCAAGACAGGCAGGATCAAGTGCAGTGCAAGTGAACCTTAAATCTGATGAAGGTTAGTTTAGTCGGCCAAGCCAGGTTCAGGAAATGAAGAATAAAGATTTTGGTAGACAATAGAAATTGGATAGCAAACCTTAAACAATACCATGCTACCATGCTACTTGCATTGTAGCGGTCTTGAGTTAGATTATGGCTGGCTACAGTGAAAAAGCTATGATAACTGAATATGTTGTTTGTGAAGAAACCCAATTGTCATCTTTTAATATCGGAGAATTGAGTTCAATAATATTCAGGATTATACTATATTTTCATATTGTCTCCAGGTCTAGAAGTATTGGTAAATGGTACAATAATAGACCATTCCACTTTGACCAATACAACTACTCGTTACAATGCCTCCGTTGCTTTATCTCGACCTGACAACACCTCCATCACTGTACTCTTCCCTTGTGGGATCTCAGTCAAGATGACTGATGTCAAAGACTCCTTGGCCATCCTTCTTGCTGCTCCAGAGAGATTTAAGAACAAAACTCGTGGTTTACTGGGTGTTTGGAATGATGATCCTGAAGATGACCTGACAACGCCGACCGGTCGTGTCCTACCGACCAACGCGACTGGCAGGATGTTACATTCTGAATTTGGTCAAAAATGTAGGTCCAAGTCAAGATTGAACTTGAGGAGTTCATACATTCAATGTATCTTAATAAATCCAACATTAACTTGGAGCCATTCTTTTTTGGTCACTGAAGCAAATAGACCTCCTCGGCTCGAGTGCAATGCTTTTCGATTTCAGACCACGTGTCATTCCGTAGTGTATCATTTCTTTGTTTAACGGTTGCGCTCGGTTGCACATGAGAAGACACGAATATGGATACAACTCAAACCAAAGAATTTTATTATCACTAGGGAATGACATGTGGCTACCGAGTCATATCCGGATCCGGTGCACGTGATATAAAGGTCACGTGACATCACGTTCGGGTTTAGTATAAGTGAATATTTGAACTCGTGCGAGTCGAGTTTGCAGGACTCAATATTGTTGTTTATTATCAGTATTTCTTTATATCCATACGGATGGATTCGTACAGTCTGGTAGGTTTTAATTTGTAATTTCTTTCGTCCTTTCTTTTTTTTTGTTTGTTTGTTTACTTTGCGCAATGTGTAATAATTTGTATTTAATTTATTCAGAAAACCGACTACTATTTCGTCTACAACTAAAAGATTACTTCTACTGCTGTAACAGGATAAACCCTTGAGTGAATAAATAGTTGAGTTTAAGACTGTACAAGATTTATTGGTACACCTAATGTGATTGGAGTCACATTAAACCTGGTCTGAAATGGGAAAACATTACGCCCGAGCCGAGGAGGTCTAATCCAGAAAGATGTAAGATCTATTAAAAATATGTCGTTGTTTACAAATTCATTTCCACTTTCTGTAATTTCAGGGCAAGTGACAGAAAGCACTTCACTCTTCACCTACAAGGAAGGAGAAAGCATCAACACATTTTCCAACAAGTCTTTTGAACCAATGTTTATTGAGGACTTCACATTCGCCAACGAAACTCTAAAACAAGAAGCTCTAGCGAAATGTGAAGGTGACGTGAACTGCCTGTTCGACGCAGCCTTGACTAATGATGTAACCGTGGGAACGAGTACAAAGATAGTCGGTTCAAATTTCAAGAACGATTCCGAGGCACTGAGTAAGTTAGTCAGCTGGGGATGAATAGACCAAATTCAAAACTCGCACCGATGTGAGGCTTAAGTTGTGAACAAAGGAATCTGGCGTGATTCGTGACTTTTGAATCACGCCAGATCCCTTTGTTCACAACTTAAGCCTCACATCAGTGCGAGTTTTGAATTTGGTCTATTGATACAGTTTTTTAAGAGTCACATATTATTTTTTCTCTTTAGTATTATTTCTCTTTTCACCAATAACACTTGAGTTACGTAAACATCGATATGGCTCAAAATTTAATTGCCTAGATAATGACCATTTCTCTATTTTAAATCACATGCCATTGCCTTTAATCGACCCGTTAAATACTTCTTATCTTGTAACTAGAAAACTCTGTACCGATGTTTTTCAACGACTCTTTGGCCTTGTACGTGAAGATCAATACAACTGCACGGATAGAGATTTTTGCTAAGGATGACGACGGCGATCCACTCACTTTTTATGTCAGCGGTATACTTCCTGAGACTCTGGATACTAACACAACCTCTGGAGGTAGCGTTGTTATCTCCTGGAAGGTTACAATGGACAAGGTATTTTATTTGAGTATTTTTCAGTTTTACGCTGTACTGTTCCGGTTTTGCAAGAGTGGTATTTCAAACCACGTGTCATTCCTTCAGTACGCATGTGAAGATACATGAAAGTTAACGAGGCTCGATCAAATCTAAATCAATCAATCAAATTTCTGAAAAGAAGGATAATAGTATAAATGGGGGTCAAAACTAACTGGCTTTATTTTTTCTTACAACATGGCGGCAATTGTTTTCATTCGATTTACTATCGCACACTTTTATTTCCTAGATTAAATTTGAAGTTACTGTAATGGACGACAAAGGTGCTGTAGCTTTACTGAGGCCAGAGGTACACGTGTGCGCATGTCACAATGGTGGATACTGCTCTCCAGATTCCAGTAACAACGTATTTGCAGACTCAACCAACGACACATTCTTCATAATGCCGTGTACTTGTATCCATGGTTACACGGGAAGATTCTGTGAGAATGACCTCGATGCATGTCAAGCGAATCTTAACCCATGTTACCCGGGTGTCAAATGTACTGACCTCCCTCCCCCTGAGGATGTGTTTGGTTACCGATGTGGGCCTTGTCCTCATGGCTTCACCGGCGATGGTGCAAAATGCTTAGGTTAGTGACGAAATCGATGAATTGAAATAAGGAGATGGCTCGAAGCTATTTGCACGATACAAAAAATGCTCATATAAAATTCATTGTAGATCTTGACGAGTGTGAGGGTGGTAATGATGACTGCAGTCAGATCTGTGTCAATACTCCAGGATCGTTCGTTTGTGACTGTAACCATGGATACCGACTGAGCATTGACCAAAAGACATGTAACGGTATGTGAATAGATTTGATACTCATTTAGGCGTTTTCTCTGGTCGTTTCGATAAGAATGTTTCCTTGCTCTTTCAGATATTGATGAGTGTTACCCTTCAAGTGACTGTATGCAGAAATGTACAAATACTGATGGAGGGTACACTTGTGAATGTGATGCTGGTTTCAAAGTCGATCCAAAGGATTCAAAGAAGTGTGTTGGTAAGTTAAAAAACCGCATCCGTCCATTCATTCTTCGTTCCTTTCTTCCTTCGTTTCTTTCTTCCTTCCTTCTTTCCTTCCCTCCCTCCTGCCCTTCGTCTCATCCTCCCTCCATTTATCCATTCATCCCTGCATCTGACCCGCCCATCCATCCTTCTATTCTTCCATCCATCCCTATCTCCCTCACTCCCTCCCTCCCTCCCTCCCTCCCTCCCTC